ATAGCTCATAGTGTTTCATTATAATTATTTTATTCATTTATGTATTATAATAAAGATAATTTTAAAAATTCATAGCTCGAGTTTTTTATTTCTAGAATATAACAGGGGGAGTTGAGATTATTAATTGTTGTTATTTATTGTATTTGATTTCATTGAATTATTCATAATATAACGCGGGGGAGTTGATATTATTAATTGTTGTTATTATTTATTGTATTTGATTTCATTGAATTATTCATAATAAACTTTGACAATTTGAAATAATCTGAAATGTAATTAGATTATGAATTGTTGTTATTATTTAATAATATATATTTATTATTGTATTTGTTTTCATTGACTTAATAAAACTTAAAATTAAGAAATATTCTAAATTAAAATTAATTTATTGTTATTAATATTAAATAATAGTAGATGGTGACTGCGTTTCGGAATAATTTAAAAATGTTATTGTATAAATTATAATAATAAAAGACACGTCGGTATTTCAATAGTAAAAGTATTTATGAATTTAAAAATGTTATTGTATAAATTATAATGATTTCGAACGTCGGGATTTCAATAGTAAAAGTATTTATGAAGTAAAAAAAATATTATATATGTTTATAAAATTGTGTAAGTTGTAGGATGTAGGCATTCACTTTGTGGTCGCAATTATATGTATATGTTTATAAAATTGCGTAAGTTGTAGGATGTAGGCTTTCGCTTTTCGCTTTGTGGTCGCAATACATTTTGAACTTGTAAAAACCTGCAATATAGCGAATCTTGTTACAAGCATACGAGCAGTCTCAGAGCAAAGATCTTAATAATTATAAAGATGTCCCAATATAAATAATAAAATTACAAAAAATCAATAACTAGTAAGTAAGAGGTCTACCCAAAACCGAAAAACATGACGAGGGGTCTACGACACAAAAAAGTTTGGGAACCTCTGGTTTAAATGATTGAATGTGATTTTGAATATAGTTTTTCATCATAAATTTCACTCAATTCAGTTTCTTAAGTTTGGATGTTTTGAAATGCGAATTTTTCTATTTACTTCCTCATAATTTTTTGCTGACTTTTCTAAACCAATCATCTTATTGAATATTTCGTCTATTTTTCTATGATTTTCTCGCGGTTTTCCACTACAAACGTCTTTGATTTTTTGTATATTCAATTTACGTTATTAAGAGGCATGTAAGAGAATGTCTGTGAACGAACCTAATAGTTTTCGCTCCTTTTCGACGTCCGTAAAGTCCAGCGCGGTCTCCGTGAGCCTGATGGGATGCGGTGCCAACGGCACGAACGAATCCTGGTTAGAGTTTGGCGGATCTATGTACTTTGCCTGCCGCCCCCAATTCCACTCCGCATCTAAAGTTATCCAGGTAATGAGATCTTCGACTTTGAGCACAACCTTCTCCGATATGGCCAACACTTCATCCTGCAAGCAAAAAAAGAAAACAACATAAGCATCATTCAAAATTTACAAATAAAATTACATTTTAAACTTTTCTATCATTTTATTTGTCCATCTTAATGCAGAATTGCATACGAGAGAAACCAGTTTCCTCCTTTATTATTTATCCATTCGCTGTGCTTACATTTCGTGCTCGGGAGAAGATGAACGTACAAAAGGGGAAACGAAAAAGAAACAACATAAAGCGAATTACGAATAAGAAAAAATAAGGAAAAAGATAATTCACTGTTTACATTCTTCTTTGCAATTCGCTGCTTTAATTAAAACGTTGTCACACACGCAGCACAAAAAAATACGCTGAAACGTGTTTTATCCTTTTGCATCCACTCACGTCGATCCAACAAACTCTCATCCTTAAGTATGAAAGACTGACTGTATTTGGAGAGTAAGAAGCTTTTTCTGTTTGGGATTATGTACCAATTCTTCGTGCATTGATAATCGCAGTGCAGACACAGCGTTTTGAGTGAGTTAGTGTGTGTGCGGGTGTATCTGAGAAAAGTTTAATAATGGAGGAGGACGAGAGAGGAAACATGGAAATGCGCAAAATTGGAAAACGCGAACGCGCCCTTCTCTGTCCATACACTTGCATCGGGGGTAGTCTGCATAGGTAGATGAGGAGGAGGAGGAGGTAACAGGTAACCATAGCGATTTGTTTCGCCCTTCCGCCAGTCTGCGATTCATATGCACACATGAAATTTAAAACGGAAAATATAAATTTAGCAACAACAAAAAATTGCTCTGTTTTCAGTGCATATCGAATTGATAGATAAGTTTTGCGGAACAAACAGGAAACATACATAAACGTTGATTGCATTTTCATAATATTACAGCTTCAGCTTCGATATAATTGGTAAGAACGTAGATTCTAATTTTAAATCAATTTCTTTTGTGCTCTTCAGAAAACAATACGAGCATTAATGTAGAAGTTCTGAAAGTTAAGTTAGTTTGTAAAGTTTAACTTGAGAGATCTAATACTATTTGTTTCGTGTAAGCGAATCTGTCGGAAGCCTTAAAAAAAACGCTCGCATGCGAAGAAGCATATCAAATTTACTATAACCGAGATAAGTTTGTCGAAACAACAGGAAACAGACACATACTTCGATTTCCATTATTTTAAAATTTAATTAATAGCATAGTGGAATATTAGATTCTACACAATTTTCAGCTAGAAAAAAAATAATACTAGCATTAATTTAGATGTTGTTTCGTAAAGTTAGTTTACAAACTTTGTCTCGAGATCTATATAATATATTTGTTTCGAGTGTGCTGCTGTCTGAAGCCTTAAAAATTAAACTTTTAATTTAACCGTCTACGTGTTTGCCGTATCGATTCGCAGGAAACTCTCTCTCTTTCTCTCTTCATCGTTCTTTCTCTCGCTTCCACACACCCCCGCTTTCCTTGCATTTTTATTATTCCCTTCTTCTGCCTCGTCCGCAAATAAACTTCGCGTCTGCTTCCGATTTCTGTCTCTTCCTCCACTTCCAACGCCGCGCCCAATTCCGTTGATTATGTAATTCCGTAAATGATATTCTTTACGCTAAGCCAAATGGAAAACTCTTACAACAGTTGTTATTTCATTGGATTTTCTAGTGTTTTTGTCTGAGGAACAATCCATATACTCTTGACGCGATGATAAATATGTATCGATGACTCTATTCTATCATTCATTCACGAGGAATCCTCGAACCGCTCCATTAAATATGAAAAAGCCCAAAAAGGAAACTTTTCAGAAACGACGATGGATGAAATATGCGTTACTAAAAAGATACACGTATCAACTGTAACGTAGATTTCATCATATATTCATTAAGATTTATAAATAATGTTAAAGCAGAATATAAATAAGTTCATTAATCTATATTGACCGAATGACATGTCTTTCGTTTTTAACAATTTCCTCGACATCTATGAATAACAGGAATATTATAGAAAACGTAAATTAAAAACAAGTATTCAAGGAATAAAACATGTCTATATGTATAATGGTAAACCTTCACATTTGCTTGTAATTCACAGTCAAACTTGAACAAACGAAAAATTAGTGTCTTTAGTTTACTCGACATCCACGAAAAAATAATGGATATATAATTGAATACATATATTAAAGACAAGTATTCAGGGAATCAAACAAGTCTATGAGAATAGTTGTATATCTTCTGGATTTCTTGTAATTCGTAATCAAACTTTAATAAAAATAAGCTTTGATACAAGCAGTGTCATACGACAACCACGAAAGACTGAAATATGATTGAATACGTGTATTATAGACAAATATTCAGAGAATAAAACGAGTCTATGGGAATAAATATAGTTTTTCCGGTTTGCTTGTAATTGAAAATAAAAACACGTCGAAAATTCAGTCTCTAATTTTTAGCGATTTTCTCGACATCAACGGATAGAATTGTGCACATAAATTAAACTTGAATATTCATGGCACAAAATGTGCATATGATCATAAACGTAGCATTCTTGGTTTGCTAATACGCTAAAAGTGTATTTGAAAAAAAAAATTATTATAGGCAACTCAATAAACACGATAACATTATTGTCGTTCACATAATCAAATTTAATTAATCATTAACAATCAATCAACTAATTAATAATAATAATTCTTTCTTTTCTTATGATTATCAAAAATATTTGCATATTTATAAGGGCCGTATTGAATTGAAAATCCGTGCGCCAGATGCTTCACTAAATAGTTAGTTAATTCGAACAAGTGCAGTTGCACATTATATTATGTACGAACGTAAATAGGATGCGAATTAAAATCAATTCATTCCCATACGTTCTTCTCGTCTCGTTTCCTTCGCACGACAGACTTAACGATCGACCGGGCAAAGGCATAAAGCTATAAACTGGTTTCATTCCATTAAAGTTTAATTCGCACAACTATATATATATATTTATATATAAAGTTATTTCAGTACGAGCGCGCCTCATTATTTATAAAAACATTTTCACAACTGAATTATAATTACATATATACATTTGATTAATGCAATCCAATTATTTCTATTATTTAACAACAACGCGTTATTTTGAAGAAGTCCTTAAAAGAAAATAATTACCATAGCAACGAAAAAAATATAATAACAATTACATAACCACAATGAATATTCTTCATGAAAAGATCATTAGCAACTGTCATGGCGTAATTGTTAATTATCTTAGCAACGGAAAGGTGTCCATAGCAACTGCATTACATAAGTAGCAGATAAAGAAATAATATTAAATATTCAAATTTTAATTTAATTTTTAGTACTAATTAATTAAACATTTATATGGTAATTTATAGCAGCGCATGTTTGTATTACCATTAGATAAGTCATGGAAATAAGGGCTAATGACTTATTTATATACGTATTCTTGTCGGTCTTCAATCATAATTCAATGAATTAAGGTCGTTTAATTCCTGGGAGGATCGGAGCGACGAGGGGGGGCGGCGGTGGAAGGTCGGGCGCGCACTGCACTGTGTGTATGTAATTAAAGTGGAAATATATTTTCATGTATTGATTTTCGCATCGGCACGACTGCAAACCACCCTTCCTCCTCATTCTCTCCTTGTCTCTCTCACTCACTCACTCTCTCCAGAGCTTTCCAAACTACATTTTACACGCTACGTGATTTTAATTTCGTGCTTACCGAGCGAATTAAATAAATAACGCAACCTCGACGATAGAAGAAGATGAAAAAAAGAAAAACAATGAAATACTTCCAAGGCTACGCGATGCTCTAATGAATTATGCAATATTCCTTTAATAAAATCGATAAATATATAAATTATAAAAGTTATAATCAGCAAAAATTGTTGCTTAACTTTTTCAAATAAAATCCATGCTACATATTTCTGTAAGCTTGTATAAAAATTTTAAATGTTATATCTGGTTTTATCCGTTTTGTTCCACATTTCGCTGTATACTGAAACTGATGTTTCGGAGGCAGACGTTTGGAAGGGGAGGGGGGGGTGCTTTTCCAACCTATCCCATCCATCCATCCATCCATCCAACCATCCCCGAGGGCGGTGTACGTGAATATTTTATGGCTTAAACATTAAAAAACAGAGCGACCGAACATGAAAGGACGAACGTTGGAGCGATGAATAAAATGATACTGTTTAATTTTTATTTTGTTGGGGAAAACCAATTTCCAAACGTAATTAATCAATTGATCAGGCTAATGCATTTGGTAAATATATTTGGACATTAAAATGCATGCACGTCCGCAAAACTTATTGATTTTAAACGAAAATGTATTTATGTCTCTCTCTACTGTAAATGTATCTACTATGTAAATGTGTGTGCATGGATTTATGTGAATGTGTTTTGCTTTTGGGCCCTTTTTCTTTTCTCTTCTATTTTATCACAATGGCCGTTCCGCAGACATTTTAATTAATAATTTCCACGGGCAGCGCACGCTTGCGCCCGCCTTTGTGTGTGTGCCACGCACACGTTACGAGCGCGCTTCCCTCTAATCGTTAAGTAAACTTTTAATTAAACACTCTATTTGCATAACTGTTTATTAATGCTACTACCTGGACTAGTTTGTTTTTTTTTTTAGAGAAATTCTCCAGATTAAAAAAATAGCCTGATTAAATTAGAATAGGAATTGTTACTCTTCTGGATTTGTTCTAATTTGATATCAAAGTTGAAAAACCAAAAAAAAAAATAAGTGTCTTTAGTTTTCAGCGATTTTCGCGATTACCACTAAAGACTTAAATATGATTGAATACGCAAATTAAAGACAAATGTTTAAAAATTGCCGTAAATTTCAAAAAATTCAAAAATTACCGTAAATTTCATATAATCAAAAATGATCAAGTTCTTAGTTTTCAACGATTTTCTCACGAAAGACTGAAATATTATTGAATACGCATATTAAATATAAGTATATGTTTATGTTTATTCATGGAATAAAACAAGTATATGGGAATAATCATATCTCTTCTGGATTTCTTGTAACGC